CATTCCTGAAATAGTATCAACAGATGTCATGAGGAAAGTGGGGGTAACAGAGGAATTAATAATTTCTAGAATGCCTGGCACATGGTGGGCGATTGCTATATGAGGGAATGGCCCCTAACATGGGTAGTTTTCAGCACACTTCAGTCATCACTAAGGAAAGTGGTTATTTATAAGGCAGAGAGGTTGTGGTTGATGTCAGTGACCACTCTGATTCGTCACTCTCTTTTGTTACGTAAGCTATGCAGTGGCCTTCGTGTGGGAGTAAGATAAACCGACCCATTCCTTGACAATGGGCTCAACCCAGTGATTTGCTTTGGCTGATGGGAAGTTAACAGAGTTGATTTGCACTGAAGTTTGAAAATGTATTCATGTCCTCATTACCTGCCTTCTTGAACTTCTGCCATTGCCAAAAATATATACACTTGAGACAAATGGATGAAGAGAGATAGACACGCACACAGTAATGCCCCATCGTGGCAGCGACCCCAGCTGAGACCATTGTAGATCAGCCAACTGTGAACCCCGTCAAGATCACAAGGGCCACATCCCCAATCGCTGCCATTTGAAATTATGAGAAATAATAAATGACAGACGTTGTCAGCCTCCAAGTTTGGGGATGGTTTATTATGCATCAATGGCTGATTCAGAATTTATAATTCTCTGAAGAAATCACCTTATTTGGTGGAATCTTCTTTTTGTTTTACTATTGTCATAATTGCCATTGAGAGCTCATCTTTGTAGGATTTTTTTTATACTACAGTAAAAAAACATATAAAGTAACATAGGAAACAATTAAAAACATATAAAGTAACATAAAAAACAATTTCCATTTCCTAATGTCATGATCTTAGATATTTATTCACTCAACAATGTACAAAGCATTGGAAATACAACAGCACTCTTGTGAAATCAGTCATGGTATAGGGGGACTCGAGACGGGAGCCAATCACTTCCACCCAGCACAGTAAATTATAACAGGAAATATTTGCTTGGAGTACAATCCCTGAAGTGAAATAACCTGAGTTAAAATCTTGCCTCTCTCACTTCTTAGCTGGGTGCTCTTCTTTAACTTCAACTCTAATTTCATTATCTGTAAAATGCAATTTTAATCATACCTACTTCATAAGAGTATTGGAAGGATTGCAGAAGCTGAAATGTGTTACAGCCTTAGAACTCTGCTTGGCACTTATAATCTCTAATTAAATGCTAGTTTTTAATACACATTTTTAAGCCTATGAGAACACCGGAAAGTAAGACTGTATGAGGTGAGGGCTGAGTAGAGGTTTAGCCATCATAGGGAAGGTACTTTAAAAAAATGAGGAAATGTGCAAATCTATCGGGACTTTGGGATCCTCATCTATATTTCAAGGAAGAAGGAATACTTTGTAGATGATTGTTAGGATGTATTCCAGTTCTGAAAGGCAGCATCTATGTAATACTGTCTAGCATAACTAATGCACTAAACTCCCATTACATATGATATTTTAACATCAAAGTAATTTTCAAAATAGAAGATGGTTTAATGAAGTTAATTTACATGTCATTATGTGTGACTATGGAGGCAAGCTTGATACAATTTTATCTCAGAGAATATTCTGGTCCCTGTTTAATAGTAAGGAAAGTGAAAAAGAAACATCTATTCCCAGGATTTATAATACAGAATAAAAGACTCAGGCTGTAAGTATGTATTGTGCTTCAGTGGAGTAGCCTAAAGCCGGTTAAATCCAATTAATAAACACAATAGACATTCACATTTTCTTTATCTTTAAGCAAAGTTACTGAGTTCACCCTACTTGGTATTTTGTGTTTCTGATTACAAGATGCTGTCCCCTGCTGTTTGCTAAAGATTCCACGATCTAGAGTCATCAACACACAGTGAAATGACAGGATGGTTTTGTTTCACCATCCAAAATGTCTGTAAATCAGAGAACAAACACAGAACTCTGTCCGTCCCTAAGACAAGGCTGGATGTTAGCACTGTGCCCCCACATTGTCACAAGTCATCGAATTTCAGTAACATTCTGTTTTTGACAACTAGTTGGGGTAACAAGGTAGGCTAAAAGGGAGTGTGATGATGTAACATCACTTCCTTTAAAAGAGCATTTGTGAAAAATTTTACTTGAGCATATTTTCTGTCACTATTGACATTAGCCAGACACCTCTCCTCAATAATTATGTTGTTATTAACAACAATTTAGTTTGTATGTATATTTTTGTGACAGCTTGTTTGCTACGTATTTCAATTCTCTTTAAGTAAGGTCCTTCAGTGAGAGATGTGGCAACGCCATCCCATCAAAGAGTCGCAATTTCACCTCTGGAATTCAGGGCCAGTAATGATGGCCTGTACATTCATGGAGGTGTTCCCCATGTTACCAGAGCCAGGATGTTACAGCAAAACCAGCAGAAATGAAATTGAATAGATCTGGGTTCGAAGTTTGGCTATGTCATTGACCAAGGATTTTAAGTTTCATTTGCCCCATCTTCAAAATCTCTCAGGAGGTTGTTTTAAGTATTATATAAGGTAATGGGTATTATCGTATTCCTTATACTAAGGAAGTATAACAAAAGGCCACATTGCAAATGGTCAATAATTACTGGTTGAATGTGAATCTGAAAATGAAAGTGGAATGACTAATTCAAGGTCACATACTATGAATGTCTAGCAGATGTGGGCAAAGATACTGTAGCTGTTGAAAGGGAAGGTACCATGTTTCCCCCAAAATAAGACACTGTCTTATATTTATTTTTTCTCAAGAAGACACACCAGGGCTTATTTTCAGGGGATGTCTTCCTCTCCACTGTCTCTGCTGCATAGCCACACCCATCACTAGTTGTTATTATTGGAGTAGGGCTTACATTTAGCAAATGCATAGAAATCCTGCTAGGGCTTATTTTGGGAGTAGGTCTTATTTTCTGGGAAAACGGTAGACAAGAATGGCAAACCTGTCCTTTTTTCCTTTTGGCTAAATAGCACTTATTCTTCCCTTATTCTTTGCTTAATAGATCAATAGATTCATTCTGAAAGGCATTCAAGATGTCTGGTAAATAGCTAATAATCAGCTTTGAAAAACAAATCAAAAAAGCCTTTCCCTTGCTGTCAAAGCCCCTAAAAGGAAAATTTTCACTTCAAATGGCTTTTGGCTTACTTCAGAACCACAATACAGACTCCTCTGAAGGTTCCAAGAGCAGCTCATGGGTGTACTGTTTAAAGGTTTATTAGTGGATAAACTATAATTGTCATATGAATGTAAGAGCTTCAGAACTCAAAGTTATAGTCAACTGCCCACTAGTGTTTTGAAACAATCAATACAACATTCCTTTAAAAATAAAAACAATGCTATTAACTCTCGACAAATTCACATTTTGATATAATTCATAACATCAAAGTCCTCCAAAAAGATGGAGAAATTACAATGCATCGCAATTCATATGTTAGGAAAGGTCTTTCTGCTTGAAAGTGCTGACATCTGAGTTCCATATTACAGCAAATTCTTAGCACCCCCCAAAATTTATATATGTAATTTTGTTTAACTCTAAGCAAGGAAATATCCATGTTCTATAAAGGAAACTGGGAAGGAAAAAAACCCAACATTTAGTGTAAACTTAGATAAGCCCCTAATGTTCCCTTCGTAAAACTTTTCTTCTTTTTGTCTGATGAAGCTTTGCGTTATCCCTTACTTTACTTAAAACCGCTTTTATGCCAATAATATACTTTGATTTCTCAAAAATAAAATCAGCTGGTGTCACCTGTGGCTCGGTGAGTAGGCCGCCAGCCCCAAACACTGAGGGTGGCGGGTTGGAGCCCGGCCCGGCCAAACTGCAACAAAAAAATAGCAAGGTGTTGTGGTGGGCGCCTGTGGTCCCAGCTACTCAGGGGGCTGAGGCAGGAGAATCGCTAGGCCCAGGAGTTGGAGGTTGCTGTGAGCTGTGATGCCAGGGCACTACACCAAGTGCAACAATGTGAGACTCTGTCTCTAAAATAAATAGATAAAATAAAATAAAATAAAATCAGCCAAAGATCATGACTTACGGCACACTTACCACAGACATTTACACTCTTCCTTGCCCCCCCAAAGTGTTATGTTTTGAATTATCATTCCTAATTGTATCCATTTCGTACTGCAAGGTCACGGACCTAAATGACCTAGAACGAATCTCTACAGTTTACAGAAGAGGCCTTATGATAATCATAGAGAAAGAAAGCAATAGAAAGACAGTATTGATAGCATTGTTTTGTGGGTCTGGCCCCTCTTTTGAAGAGGACCTAGTGACGTTGAAACGTGTCAACCGTTTTCCTCACATGAGTTGATGGAAAAGCGCACATCCTGAAGCAGAGGGTTCTGGAATTGAGTTGTCACGCTGTCCCGAATGTCTTGTACAAACTGAACAGGCCAATTTACTGCAACGCTGCAAAGGCTGAAGGCTACTATCTCGCCTGTCCACTTGCTTCCTCGGTGAGATTACGCTGCTCAACTACAGGCTCCCTCCCCAGTAGCTTTTGAGCACCCTGATTGTTTCTGGTGAGCCTTTGCTAAGTAATAGTATCCTGTTAATCCCCACTTGGGACCAGCCTGCTCGCTTGGCCAGGGAATAGGCTCTCACCCTTGCAATTTGAAAGCAACAGCTTTGTGTGTGTGGTGATAATTTTAAATCCTAGTGGTGATTTGATTTCAGTATCTCCCCTAAAGTAGCTCAGAACTCCTCAATTTCTGGATGAAAACAGGCAGGCTTTTCGGAAAAAAAACTGACAACAACTCCCACACAGCCCGCATTTCTTCGCCCATTACTAACCTCCTAGCGTGGGGGCTGCTCTGACGCGCAGCCGTTCCGATTCTGCCCTCTAGGTGGCAGCAGCGCCACGCCTCAGAGGCTCCAATCCCCTCGTCCCTGACTTCAAGTGTTAATGCAATTGACCAATCAGTGCTAAGATGATGGGAGGTAATTGGGTAATTGTATTTTACTGATCACAAGCAGAGAAAGGGAGAGGAAAAGAGGAAGGCAAGAGGGCCAGGGGAGCGAAGGGGACTGCAGTCCGAGAGGAGCTTTTGGAAGCTAGGACCCTAAACGTCAGGACGTGGCATTGGTCGAGAGAAAGCCTAGACTGGGAGTAGCTGCCGACCGCGCAGGGAGCGCATTTATTAATTGGGGGGAAAGGAGGGGAAAGCGAAGGAGTGGGAGGAAGAGTTCCAGCCCAAGTGCGGATGGAAGGGGACTGGGGCTTCTGCCGCGCGGGCAGCCGCGAGCCGGGGAGATGGCGCTAAGGGCGGCGCGGCAGCTGCGCTCCGAGGACGCGTCTCGGGGCCGAGGACGGGCCGGCGTCGCGGAGCTCTGCGCCAAGACCCACCAACTTGTGGCTCCGAAATGTGCCCAACGCAGCTGGGAATGAGATCAGAGCTGCGGTTCCGTTGGAGAAGAATGAGAAGAGCCAGCGATTAGGGATTTTGTTTTAACCCCTTTCGTTCTTTTTTTATTATTATAATTTTATTTTTTCCTTCTGCTTTTTTTTTTTTCTTAATTTGCCTACTACCCCGGTCAGTCCCATCACTTGTCTTCTCCATGTGAAATAAAAGCCCAGTCTGAACTTCCGTCGCCGCGGTGTCCCCGGATCTGCTGCCCGCTAATGGAGAAGGGGACCCGGGGGCCGGCGGGGGCCACCGGCGAGGGACCGCACCGCGCGTCTCCCCAGACATCCCGGCCCTGATCTCCGAGTCCGGGAACACCTGGAGGATCCAGATCGGGTGCCGGGCTGGGGGCGGGGGCAGAGGCAGCGAACGCTACCCCAAGCCTTAAAAAAAAAAAAAAGAAAGAAAGAAAGAAAGAAAAGTATCGGGGTGGGGAGGAATGGGTTTCTTCTTGACAGCTGACGGAGCCTTGAAATTTGCCTCGACTACCTCCGCCCCCGCCCCCGCCCCGGCCCCCCGCACTCCATTTAACTTGAGATTATGAAATTGCAGAGGCGGCGGAGGGAAGGAGAGAGGATATAACGCGAGTTTAGAGGGGAGAGGGGAAGGTGGCTGGCCGGGTGGCTGAAATCAAAAATCCAATTGCGCACTGGGTTGTGATGAGAAATCTAATCAGATCTTCTTTGGCGAAGGGGCCGGCCGGAAGGGTGGCGAGCGGGGGGAGTTGATCCCCAAATTCTTCGAAGGGGAGGCTGGGGAGAGGAATTGACCACCGTGGAAAAAGGAGACTTTTTTGGTGGCAGAGGCTGCTGGGTGCCTGGCAAAAATGAAGGATGCGGGACGCAGCTCTCTCCCGGAGCGGAATGCAGCGGATAGACGGTGCTTGAGACAGGGAGGAACGAAGCTTTTTCTTGCGAGACCTGGATCTGAACACAAACGTGTAGATGTGCACACGGGGAACATTTGAAAAATGAAATAAACCAGTGCGAGACCCGCGGGGATTTGGTGTGTTCTGACATAAATAAATAATATTCCAACAGCTGCCCCCCTCCCCCCCCCAAAAGGATGGTTGGAAATGGAGAGCCGAGGATCCACAGAGGAAAAGTACGTCCGTTTATTCTCTGTAAAGGAGAAAGTAAGCCGAGGAGATATTTTTGGAATGAAAAGTTTGGGGCTTTTTTAGGAAAGTAAAGACCTGATTCGGTGATGTTTTCTGTTTGAATTTCCCACAAGAGGAGAGGAAATTAATAAAACATCTGCAAAGAAATTTCAGAGAAGAAAAGTTGACCGCGGCAGAATGAAGCGCCGACTGGGGGAGCAAAAGCGACAGGGCACAGTTGGATTCGTGCCTGTGGTGACTAAAATTGAAGGATAATTGCAGTTGGATTTTTCTTCATCAACCTTTTTTTTTTTTTTTTTTTTTTTTTTTTGGTGTCAAGATCATGCGTTTTCTCTTGTTCTTAACCCCCTGGATTTCCGTCTGGATGTTGCTGTGATCAGTCTGAAATACAGTGAGTGATCCTTATTTTCTTACTTATTGGTAAAGGAAATGTCCATTCCTTTGGTGTTCTTGGTCTCTTTATCCTAAAGACCCGGTTACGAAGGGCCCAGAAAATAAGGGAGAGGGCGGCCCATGCGTTTGCTCCAACAGGCTGTGCTCAGCTGATAAACTGGTTTGCTCTGTGGAGGCAGGCTGTCTGCATCCCAGGCAAACAACGTCTTTTGCAAACGTTCACCAGGGGAAAAAAATGTCCCCGAGAAAGCTGCTGCAGTCCGGGATGATGGTGCTGGGTGATTGACAGTGTAGATGCATTTAAGTTGTATGGCAGCCCTGGAATTAGATGCACAAATGTTTGGCTATTGGAAATCGAAGGGACTCAATTTAAATTTCATTATTCAACATGACATTGCAGAGCGACAGAACGTATTAACACAAAAATATGATAATAAACCAAGCCTGCCAAGGGTGGCTCCTGGCTGGTGGCTGGGTGGCTGGGGGAGGAAGCTGGTGGAGAGAGGGGGCTGCACTTCTCACCGTCTCTGTTGCATACGTACACATGCCCCAAGGTGGTCTTCAGATGACCCAAGTTCTCACCCGGGCTAAGAAACAAACAGGGGGGACTGACTTCTCTTCAATCCCACCCCCTCCTAAGGAAGGACCTCTCTGGATCACAGAGAAGCTGTGCAGAGATGGTAAAGGGCCTTGAGAGTTGACGTAGGTTTTGCCAGAAACCTTCCTAACACAACCAGGACACAGCTCTGGAGGAAAAAGCAGAAATCTCGTGCCCTGTGGTAACTTAGAAAAAGAAGTGGAAAGGAAGGTTTTTGTGTTAAGCACCAAAGCTTCTCACATGCCTCCTTTGTCTTATGAAAAAGAGGCCAGGATAGAAAGTGAAGGAGAAGGTGGGAGATGCTTAGAGAGCCCGAGGGCCTGTGGGATCCCCTCCTCCTCCTCCACAGAGTCCTGAGGCCCGGCTTCTGAGCACAACTCTCCCCCTTCACCCTTCCCTACTTCTCTCTGGGGCCTTCTGTCAGAATCATAGACTCACACAACTTTAGAGCCAGCACACTCCTCAGAAATCTCATGCCGATCACCCAAGACACCGAGGCCTGCAGCAGCTCTAACTCCTTGATTAACAGCCAGACAGAATGAGACAGGTGATTCACACAGGCCCCCAAACAGCAGGCACGCGTCAGTTTGGGATCCGAACTGGACAGATATCAGCCATACATAGCCGTGCATGGCTACTTCTGTCCCTCAGCTGCCATGTTTCTCAGGAAGAGTGAGAGGAAGATACATTGGTTCCCAAGGGCTTGAAATAAACTTCTGCCAGTTTAGCCCTCAAGGGTTGAAAACTTGCTCCCTCCCTTGCTCCCTTCTCTCCTTTCTTCCTTTCTATGGCATAGTTCAGATTACCCCTGGCTTTAATACTATTTTTTAAAAATCCACCCTCTGGCATATCCCAAGGAGATGAAAGGCACTAGACCCCTGGGTTCCTTCTTAGTGTCGGCCACGTTTAATCCCGTGAGTGGTGATCCCCAGAGAGTCGTTAATGCTCCATGGAGTTAGATTTATATCCCAGAGTTGATAATAGAAACCAGAAACACCCAGCTAAAAGCATCTGAGTCTGTTCTTTTCACCCACATCATCTATTCTTATCTTTTTCATTATTCCTCAACTAAACTAGCCTACAGCTGAGCACTTCACTCAGTTTTTTCTGGGCACATGTTTCCTATTGGGACACAAATCAGCCAATAAATTTGGCAGTCTATGAAAATAATGGTGCAGGATGTTTTTGCTCCCCTAGAGCTCCCAGCAGACTTCTGCATGCCTTATCATAATTCTCTTTGGTGTTTTTTGGTGTGTGTCTTAGTGTGTTTGCTTATGTGTTTTGTTTTACGTGATCATAGTTTAGTTACCATTTGTGGTCAACGAAGGGCATATTTAGTTCCTGTTCAGGAACTTAGCACAACTAACAAAAAAGTAAGGCAGGGAACTTCTTAGCACAACCAACAAAAAAGTAAGAAGGGGAAAAATGTGCAATGATGCCTTTTACTTCATAGCTCAGCTGTGGGCTTCCCTTTGGAAACCTAGCTTTCCAGTTAGGTTGGGTTTGCCCATTGGTGGATATTATTTTTGTTCTTGTTTTTCTTTTTCTTTATGTACTTTTTGACATCCCAATGTCTTCAGTGCTCCTGTGATTAGACCTTGAAGTACGTGTCTCTTGTGACAGCGTCACCCCCTCCCTATAACTTCCACACTTATTTATACACAAATGCAAACTTTCTTGAGAGGGAGGAAGGGAAGAAAAGAGAGAGACAGAGAGAGAGACTTGCTTTAGAATCGTGGGCTGAAATGTGTCCTTCCACCCACCTCCACTTAAATCTGGAGATGATGGGGCATTGAAAGATGTCATCATTTCTTATCCTGGTGAATCATTTCACCAGCTCTGCAGTTTGAAACTCATGACCCAGCTTGGGGTTTTGCAGGCAGAGTTGGCCCTGCGTCTTGGTGAAGTTGTTCATGAACTGATGACAGAATCATGGCAGTGATGGAGCTAGAAACTTATCAGTTAATTTCAGGGCTGAAGTTAGCCCCCCCTCGATGAGAGGAGGTAGTTGTAGACCTGCTGAGCACCACTTGCCCAGAAAGCTGTTGGGTTCTATACGTTTTAAAGTTCCCTTTTCAAATGTCTTCCTCCTTAATGTAATAGCTGTGCCCTGTGAGCAGTACTTTTAATTTTTTTGGCTCTCCATTGTCTCATCTTGGGGATGGGAATGGTAATCTCTAATTTCTTGAATTGCTCTGTGAATGATAAGTAATGTTATTCAAAGCTTCAGGCATAATGGACCCTCTGAGGATGGTTGTTTGTTATGGTTATTCTTGGATTAGTTTGAATTAACTTCCTGACAACGAATAACAGTCTGGCCAGACTCTTTGGCAGTTCCAGTGGCTGTACTTAAAACCTAGGGATTATGTACCTTACAGGAGTCGCTAGCTTCCTCTTTTGGGATTCTATCCAGACAGATTGGCTCAGAATAGTATTTGAGATATAAAATGTTTTCTTGGATGAGAAACTATAAATCATGCTTTTGTTCTAAACATATAGAAGAAATGAATCTCAGCAAAAATAACAATTATTGCAATTTTAGGGGGAAATAATGCTATTAATGTGTGTGCTTTGGGTCTAGAAGTTGCATAAGATACCCCTTGTATTTTAAATGTATCATTTAAGCTACACATTATTAATACATAGTCTGGACCTGGAATGCACGAAATAGAGCAAATGTCTGTGGAGTTATATAATCGAAATTAGATGGTGTAAAATTTCACTACTGATCTTAAGGCCCCAAAGACCACAATTTGCACACACAGTCTTCCTAGTCAAAAGGCACCCTTCATTAGTTAAGCCCTATCTTTATTGGTGATAAGCTGCAGACCCAAAAGAGTGAACGGGATCAGGAAGATTTAATGCAGACACACACGTCACAGTCTCCATGTGCAGAGCTCCCAACACCAACTTACCAGTGGTTTTCCAAGGCATCCAGTCATGGTTCTTGCTCATAATTTTATTCTCTACACTTGCAGCCCTGTCCTTTATGCATTTCCTCAATATGCTTCCAGGGACCTGCTTTCCCTTTAAGGAAAAAGGAGTCTTGTTGTAAATATTCTTGTTGTCATCTCTGTGGATGATAATAGTACAGTCAGGCTTGGGAGGTAGATGTACACTGGATTTTTATACTGTTTCTTTTCAGTGAAAACAACTCGAAATCTGTATCGGTCTTGGAAAAGCATTTTAGAGTTAACCATTTTGACTGGTCTTGAGAAGAGATGGAAATTATCAAAGGACATACCCAGATAAATTTGACTGTTTCGCCTGCTCTCGAAAGTTATCTAAGAAATCAGGTAAAACTCCCACATCATAAGGAAATTCAGATACTCAGCTTTCCACTAGGTCATTTGTGTTCCATGCACCATTTAAGCTCTCGGAGTCTGTTTCCTTCCCTGTCAAAAAGAGGTAATAGCAACTTCATGGAACTGACTGCCAGGAGGACAAAATCAGATTGCATTTGTCATGCACAGCAAGCATTCAATAAATGCACATTTACATTGATCATTTTCGTTTAGGTAACGCACAGTTTGCAAGAGAGAGATAGGGTCCCCATTGGCAGGAAGATGTTAATCTAAGTTCATATTGGCATGAATGAAAAAGGGACACCCATGAGCAGGATTAGGGTTGGAGTATCACAGAAGTAGATAGGACTACTATCTACTTTGGGGCAAGACCCTACAGTTTTAAAACACACTTAGAAGTGCTTTGATGAATGCCATTATTCCAGTGAAGATCATACTTTGTGAATTGCAGAAAGTATACTTTTGCATCCGTGGAAACTTTGCTTACAGTACTTCATAGGACAGGCATAAAAAATTAATGATTTGTAAATGATGTCTTAGAAGACTCCTTCAGGGGATCAAGAATCTTTGCGTCTTTCATTTCTTCAAAATAATTTTTCTGGAGAAATCGAATTTTGACAGTTGAAATTTGGTTAGGCAGGTCTTGTGGCTGAGATAATATGCTTGTCACATTCTCTGAGAGGAAGGACTTTATTCTGTTTTCTGGAGTGTCCTTAGAACCTTAAAAGACTGTCTGACAAATAGTATGCATGCAATAGTTATTCCTTACAACCAAACTTAGTCTAAGAAACAACCCCTCTGAAGGACTCCAGTGCATACAAAAACCTGTGTGCACACACACACATACAGGCACATACAAGAAGCTTGGCTTGCAGGAATCTACAGAAGCTTGATGAGAAACACCAGTGAGCCTACTGTGCGCGCGCACACACACACACACACACACACACACACAGAGCAACAGTGAAGGGTTTTCTTCTGTTGGAAAATCTGAGGTATGAAAATTAGATGATGCAGTATGTCTTTCTTATTCTTGGCGCTGTCATGAATGAAATGTGACATTTTTTACAAGTCATCTTACCTCTCTGGGTCTTC